GAAGCGGCGCTCAAAGGCCGGTGGGGGGGGGGCTCAGACAGATCCTGGGGCCTCACCGGGTAGGACTCCTCCAATATACAGTCAAGATTTTTATTGTCTGAACAGGAAGATGGGAGCCAGGTGGCTTCGAGACTGGTTCTGTGGTTCCGTGGTGCTCATTAGGACTTTCATTCTTCCACCTTTCTGTGCCACCATCCTTAGACATGGTGGTTCATGTTGGTGCTTGTTGCTTTTGGTGCCCAAACAGCTTCCACACAGGGAGGCATTACACTTTTTTCACGCAGGAAGGCAATGGAAGGAGAGGTATGAGCAAGTCAGTCTATTTCCCTCAAACTTGAACTTTTATCAGGAAACAAAAATGTTCCTGCAGCTCACCACCTGCCTGGTTAGAACTGCATCTTGTCATCGTGATCAGAAAGGGATTCTGGGGAGGGGGGAGATGAGACAGATGGGCTTTGGCTACTTATTTTCCTTTTAGGTGGACAAGGAAGAATTGGGAAGCAATGCAGGGTAGGGTAACCAATACCTTCCATGATCCCTAGGTTTGTCAGTACATTTGCACAAATTCAGGGGTATTCTACCTGAGTTTGAGGTCTGGTTCCACCACTTTCTTGCTACCTGACTTTGGCCAAGTTATCACACTGCTCTGTCTCTGTCACCTCATCTATAAAGTGTTGATAAAAATGGCACTTTACATTGGAGGGTAATAGAAGCATGTGAACAGTGAGAGGCTTACATAGATGTCTGTCAGTTATAAGCTATTGTTCTTGTGTATCTCTTATTGGATCTTACTATTTCTTATTTTGTATCCATCATTCCTTTCTTTATTATTTTTTTAACTTTTAATTTATTTTTTATGTTCAATCACTGTACATCACTAAAGCTTTTAAAATGAATCTACCTGATGTGAGCCCACTTCACACCAGTCCAGTTGAAGGTATCATGTGCATTATCATCAACAGACAATTGTCCATTTCTTTGTTCCTCAAATGTCTTGCTTCTCTGTTTTCCTCAATTCCTTTCCTCACACTCTCTATATCCCACCCTCTCCCCACACTGTCTCAGTATCCTAACCGTTTTCTATTCTTCATTCATTCTTTCCATGAGCATTTGTTGTTGACCATGTGCCATATTCTAGGGTACTATTCCAGGGGGAAAAGGGTGACAGAGGGTGGAGAATCAGCAGGGAGAAAAAGGACAAGTACTGTAGTAATTTGTGTGTGAATTTTTTTCTTTCACCTGCCATGAACACATTTTGGTAGCTACAGCTATGACCATACTGCTTTATTCCAACAGGAGCTGGGTGTAGGTTTATACAGTCATTAAATGCAAGAAGTGACTGTGCAAATTACCCGTGGAGAGGGCAATTTGATGCCCATGAAAGATACAATTTCTACTTTATTATGTTGAATGAGAAATAGATACCCATAGATATTTAGTATGGGTTTCCAGAAGCTTCTATTAGGTTGTTAGAAAAGTCGTGACATGTTTTCCTATGCAAAAATGTGTCATGACTTTCCTGACAACCCAATTATTTGAAAAGTAACATTGAAAGGAAGCAGCTCACACCCAGGGCACTTCCATTGCAGGTGCTCAGATTTAGTCCTTACCCTGCTGTCAGCAGGTGCTCAGGGGCAAACTGAAACCATTGAGTCTTTGGTCTTGCCAGTTATGGTGGGGAACTATGGACACTGTGATTTCCTGCCTCATGAGGTGAGCCAGCAGACTAGGTAGACAAGATTATTATGGATGGAGAAAGGTTGTTCCCCTCAGGTGGCTCTAAGTACGTGTGTCAGAAGTTACGCAGGATTCTTAGGTTGGGTTGTGCTGACCCTATATCGCCTGGCTAGCCTGTGGACAGAGTGTTTTTGTGGGCACGGGCATGGAGGATGGCTGGCCTTCTTTTGCACAAGTATGCGTATCTCTGGTCTTGCTGAGATCTAATCGTAGAGCAGCCCAGAAAGTAGATTTGAAGATTCCAATGAGATCTTCTTCTTTGCTGAGTCTCACTATCTAACCTCAGCTAAGAGGTGTGGGAGCTAATGTGGATAGCTTTAATAGCTCCTACCTTTAAAAATTACCCATGTGTTTGTGTATACACATGTATGTATACACATATATAATGTATGCATGTATACACATATATGTATAATGTATACACATATGTATAATGTATGTATGTATACACATATATAATGCTCCTATGTTTCTATACACATATATAATGGCTGTAAGTAGAGAAGAATCATTTGGAGAGCCAGTCAGCAGAGTTATGTGGTGACATTTTTTCTTTTTTCTTTCTTTAACAAATGGAATCTCATCAAGGCTTTCTTTCTATTTTAGTTGTGCATGTAGTTTATAATATAGAATGACAGAACAGATCATGGTTCAGTACTTCAATTTCCTCTTACAAAGCAGCAAGGTGACATAGGTCATCATACCTCTAGAACAGAAAAAAGTTCAAAGCAAGATGTAAAGCACTAAGTGTTTTTCTGTGTGTGTGTGTGTGTGTGTGTGTGTGTGTGTGTGTTATTTTTATTATTGTTTTGTTTTAAAGCCTGCTAGGGTTTCCTGAAGGTAAGTTATTGGGTGGTCAGAAAAGTCATGACATTATTTTCTATGCAAAAATGGGCCATGACTTTCCCAATGACTCAGTAGATTTTAAAAATGTGAATTGATATCAGTGTTCCTGCCTCATCCATGCTTCACAGAGAACTACTGTTCTCTGGGTAATTAAGGAGCACAAAAACCTTGCTGTGAGAATGTAGAATAACAGGTCCGGCTAGGTGAGCCTTGAGGTTTATAAGAAGGTGATGAGGTAGCAATGTGGGTTTTCAACAGCCTGCAGTGCATGGTCCTTTTCAGAGGAGCAAATTCAGACTAGCTGTTTGATAGCTTTTTTTTCACAGGCAACAAGACTCAAATCTCAAGACTGGCAGATTTTAGGAAAACTGCTATCTCTTGTAAAGTTCCTTATAGAATCTTACAGAATTACCACGTTTAGATTAGTAAAGATCCCGCTGATGGACACCAAAATCATTTCTAATTCTGTGGGACAGCTTGACTCCTCATGTTTTTCTCTTTGTTTCATTTATGATAACTTCTGAGATAGTCAGCCTTTGTGACCAAATATGATTTTAAAGAGGAAAGTTAATATGACAACCTCTCATGCACTCTGTATTGTATGTTGTAACTTGGGCTCTCTTGGGGGTTAGGTCTAATTCATAAAATAAAGCGGCAATTCAAAATGTTTCCAAAGATGCATGCCTTTGGTAACCTTCAAAATGGATCTCAGCACAGATAAAGGTTGGAGGCACGTGTGAACAGGGTGACAGCCATTTGTTAAACAAAACATTCAGAAGGTGGGTGAAGGGAGAGAGTTATACAATGTCCAGCCCTGCACTGCAGAAAATTCTGTTATCCTTACAACAAACATAAGGAAGGGATTATTTATTTACTTATTTTTAGAGAGAGTTTGGCTATCAGGTGGATATGCTCGCCAGAGAGACAGAGGAGAGAGACAGAGACAGAAAGCGAGGAATCACCCTCCCCCCACAATGGGGCTAGCCACACTATAGTCCCTTCTCCTTCATTTTCCTCTTGGGATTTTGGGCATGCACACACATGTGCCTGGTGTGAGTTTTAAGCCTCCAGGTCTGGGACTCAAACCATGGTCGATTATGTGGGAGTCCAGTGACGTAACCATTTCACCATCTGCTGATCCCAGGAAGGGATTATTTTAAAGCCCTGACACTCAGATAGTATAATTAATTTCCCTGTAGTAGGTATCAGAGCTGGAACCCTAGTCCAGATCTCTTCAGCACCAAGACCATGGCCTACGTTCTAATTTTACTTACTTGTGTTCATGACTATGCCAGGACATGCCTGGGTGGACCAAAGCCATGTTACACATGTGGCCAATCTTTTATAGGATCTATTCTATTTGGTAGTATGTAATTTTAAATGTCATATTACATTAAATCTAGTATGGATATGGTGTAGAGTGGAATATAGAATTTGAATGACCTTAAGTTTAATTTATTCAATACATAAGAGGTTCAAAAGAAATTTCATGCTTCAAGCAGGCCTCTTCAAACTTTGTTCCCAGAATCTTGAAGCCATGTACCTCTTTCTTGTCCCAGAAGAACCACTTAAGTAGTAAAGTTTGATAAGAGGCCTCGCCCATAAAACCACCTCAGATTTGTTCAGGGTTCAAGATCTTTGTCAACTTAGATCTAAGCAAGTAGTGCTTTGGATCTACAGGAGTGTCTTATTACAGATCTGTGGAGGGCCTCAAAACATGACCTCTGATTGTAAAAAGTCATTCTTTTATTTTGCAGGAGGCTATCATTGAAAATCGAGCCCTGTGGATGGTAATCAAAAGGTGCTTTGGTTATCAATCAAAAAGCCAGTATCGGATATGGCAGAGAAACTTGGCAAATGACCCCAACTGGCCCCCGCTGAACCAAACCTCCTTCTCTGACATGTCAGGGTGTGACAGAGGGGTGTCTTACAGCAATCCAGTGTTTGAGAGCAATGAGGAACAACTTTGAAGGAAATGTGATCTCCACGCTGATTTCATAAGGACATGATGACTAAACGAACCAGTTTCCGTGATTTTAAAGCAAGGAGACTCTTACAGTATCTACTGTTGCTTTGGAGACACCTATCGAATCATGACGATAAAGTCTGTTCGATACAATACTTTCTGCTGAGAAGAATGCAACCTCAGAAGAGCTTTCCTGTGGACTTCTGAAGGTGTTAGAGGCATGAATGAGCCAAGAATGGACCACAGAGTGCAATGGGCCAGGAGATCAGAGATTGAAGGAAGATAATTTGTTATTTTCTTCTTAGGATAATATTTCCTTTTTAATGAGTTGAAGGGAAGTAGTACTTTGTAGACTCATAGAGTTATAACATGTTGAAGATTATTTTTGAATTCTGATTTCACTGACGGAGAAACTAATGCATGGGCGCCATCACACCAATCTTTACTGGTTTTCTTTCCTTTGTAATACTTTTTAGGAATTGGGCTCTCCCTTCTGCTTTTGGCCTTCCCCTACATTTTACTGAGGATAAGCTCTGCCTACACACTGATAGCAAACAACCCCGTACCTCAGTGCCTTCGCCCACAGGGCTCCTTTCTCGGTCCAGGTGACTGTCTAGAACAGCTGTCTTCAG